GCGGTCTATCTCCGTTTGAGATAGTGCGGCAGGTCGTACTTAGGCCCTATAGGGGAACCGAGTAATGCTAAGCTTAGGAAATTAGGTTAACTCTTCTGAAAAATGTATAGGTTTTAAGAAGTCTAATAAAGTATTAGTGTGACTGCTTAAGGGAAAAAAAAAAAAAATAACTATTAATCTAATTCCTACAAATTATAGCTCGTTATGATTATGAAACTATTCTAATTCTAATAATACTATCTAAAGATATTGCTAATTTATAAAATAATTTATAAAATACAAATAAAGAATAACTAATTAATAAATATAAAATAAAAATAAAAGTATTAAAACTTATTTGATAATATTTCTGTTCTGTTCAAAAATAAACTTTGTAAATTCTTTAATACTTCAAAGAGAGCTATAAAGTTGTTATTTGTTAAGCAATATAAATTGCTTAAAATGATATACTTAGTAGAATATAATTTTTCTTTTCTACAGAAAGTGAGAAGTTTAAAGATTTGTTCAGCTTCTATTAAGATCATATTAGCTTTTTATTAGCCTATTTTGTTTTGAAGAGTCACAGAGAATTTCCGTAAAAAAGCAAAGTCACTTTAATAAAGAATACAGTAAGTAAAATAGAAGAATAGTAATTAGAGAATCATCCTAGACTAAGGCAAAAGGAAAGACATAAGATGTGGAATAAAGAGAATTCTAGAGTAGTTACGAAGAGATTTACAAAAAAATATGGAAGAGAGCTTTTTCGAGAAGGAAGCAATGAAATTGAAAAAATTGAAGAATTTTTTGACGAAGCAGTTGCATCAGCAATGAAAGTTGATCAAGAATTAATTACAGTAGCAAGACAATGGAGAACAGCAATAAGAAGAATCGCAACTTTAGAAGGTTTAGTCAAAGTAAAGGAGATAATAATGCAGAAAAATGAAAGCGTAGAAATAGACATAGAAGTAGGAAATCAAACTAATAGAGAAGTAGAAATGCAAACAGAACCTACTATAAATATAGAAGAGCAAGAGGTAGAAGTAGATATAGGTTCAGAAATAGAAATGAAAATTAATGAGACAGAAGAAGTAGTAATAGATAAAAGAGTCGAAGAAGAAGAAATGGAAGATATCAGAGTAATTGATGAGAGCTCAGAAATCAAACCAAGAAATGATATATTCATAGAAAAGTTTGAGCAACTCGAAGAGTATATTAAGGCTAACCATAGAAAGGTATCACTAGACGAAAGTATATGGGCTCCCAAGAAAGATGCCTGCAAAGAAAAAGTTGAATTCATGACAAAGGTAGCGGCAATAAATGTACTAGGAGACAATGCAGAGCAGAGAGAAAAGTGTATTAGATGGTCATTGAGAGGAACAAAGCATTTAAAAGAGATTAGTGAAAAGTTCGCAAAAGGAAACTTATGGTGTATCTTACATTTTGACTGTAAGAGAGGATACGAAGAAGCAAAAGTAGTATTTGAGAAGAAAAAGGAAGAGTACGAGCAATTAAACCTAATCTTGGAAGAGTCACCAAGAAAAAGAATAGATACAACTATTAAATATAAGCATGAGAAAGCAGAAGCAAGTGGAAGCCGATGTATTAGCAAAGAAGAAAGGGAAAATCAAGCAAGAACAGAACTAGAAGAAATAAGGAAAAAAAGAAGCGAACTGATAAAAGAATATAATGAGGTCAACGAGCAGCCTACTAAAGACAAAGGAAAGGGAAAAATGGTATATGAGGAAGACAAAATAGAAACAGAAGAAGAGAGACAGGTAAGAAATAGTATTAATGAGAAAGAAAAGGAAGAAACCAAAAATAGGCATCAAGTAACAGAAGAGAGAGAAAACAGAAGCATTTATAAAGAAAAAAGAAAACGACGTTATAGTGAAGAAAGTGAAGAACCAAAAAATCCAGAAAGAAGAGACACATATCAAGAAGGGCCGAGAGCTAACACAAATAAAGAAGAAAACATAATAACAGTTTGGGATATACCTCCACACGTCACAAGAACACAAGTATTCAAAGCTGTAATGCACATGGGTAGAGTCTCAAATATTGAAATGATCCAAGAGGGACGTATGAAAATGAGAGCTGAAGTCACATTTGAGGATAATAGAATAAATAAACAAGAAAAAGAAGCTTGGGCTCTACCTCTACTTAACAATGTACTTGTACGTATAACACTAGGGGCGAATAGCAGAGAAACCTTAGAAAAAAGAAAACAACATACAACAAAATTGTTCAATATTCCAAAAGAAGCCAACGAAGTACTCCTTTACAGACAAATTAGACATACAGGAGCAAAAACCGTACATATCTTCAAAAATGCAAATGGAAACAATAAAGGATTTGCATTAGTTACATTCAAAGACAGAAAAGACCTGGAGCAAGCAAGAAAGTTCAGTATGAGATATTACGATACAAGACTCTTCTGGGAAGGAGCAGAAAGTAATGTAGAGGATCAAACATATGAAAGAGCAAAGCAAAAGCAAGTTAACTTTGAACAGAACTGGAGAAACGAAAGATATAAACAAGCAGGCTCAAGTAAAAATATAGTAGTAAGTAATAGTTTCGAAGAAGAAGAAGAATATTCGAAAGAAAAAGAGTTACAAGAGAATAAAAGAGAAGAAATTAATAAGAAAAGAAGAACCGAAAAAAGCAAAGAACAGACAGACTCAAAGAAGCTTCAAGAAGATCCTAACGTATCTTTAGCCTATGTAGTTCAACTTATTCAAGGTTTAGGAGAACGAGTAAGATTGTGGGAGCAAAATACTCCAAACTGCTCCTAAAATTTGCTAAAGTCCAACTACAGGAAGCCTGTATAGCTCATGAAGGAAAACTTGAGCATACAAAAAAGGCATACAACGCATCAAACCAAAATAGAGGTAAAGAGACAAGAGAGCAAGAAGAGAGAAACAAAGAGGCAAAGATGAAAGACAAATGGAAAGATAGGATTAAAGTAGGAACACATAATATCAATGGACTAAAAGGAGATATGACAAAGCTAGAACGATTAGCAGAATATTGCAGAGAAGAGCAATTTAATATAATGGGAATTGTAGAAACAAACATAAGTGAGAAGGAAGGCAATTGGTTCAATTTAGAGAGTGAAACGTATAGAAGCTTCTGGACTGACACAGAAGTAAACAAGAATAAAGAATCTGGAGTCGGTCTAATAGTAGATCAGAATTGGGTACATCATATGGGAGTATGTAAAAAGTATAACCCATATCTGCTCAAAGCTGAATTCTATTTTAGAAAAGTTGTACTGCAGGTATGGGTTTTATACATACCGCCCAAAAATACAGAAATAGCTAAAATGGTACACAAGATAATTTTAGAAGAGCAAATTAAAAAGAGGAAGAATACGTATAGTATAATAATGGGAGATTTTAATGCGGTACTAAATAATGAGTTAGATACAAGTAGCAAGGATAAACGAATACAAGATGCAAACTCAAAAGTTATTAAGTGGCTTAAAAATACAGACAACATAGAGACCTTCCGTTTTTGCAACCCACAGACAATTAAATTTTCTTGGTCTAATAGCAATGTTGCAACGCGAATTGATTATATTTGGTGTTGTCAGGGTTTAAAGTCATTTATTATAAGGAGTGATATAGATAGTACAGAAATGATAACGGATAGTAATCATAGCATAGTCTAGCTACAATTAGATAGTAGTGATTTATTCGAAAAGGAAAAAATAAGAACTAGGAAAAACCAAAATGAGATAAGAAGAATATATCTATATTACAAAGCGACAAAAGAGGATTGGGAAGCTTATAGTCAAAAAGTAGAAAGAATAATCACAAATGCGAAAAGAAAACAAGAAAAGCAACACGGCCGAATACAGAATGCAAACAGGGAAACAATCGATGAGAACTGGGAAGTATTGTCAAAAGCAATCACAACAGCTGCAAATGAATATATCCCATCTACAAAAACTCAAAATACAAAGAGCCAAATAAGAAAAGAAGCTCCCAAGTCATTAGTATATAGCAGAGCAAAGATACTCGGAAAGTTATATAGGAAGGGTATGAAAAAATTAGAAGAAAACATAGACGAGATCGAAGAGTTGCTTTATAACGCACGAATCAGACAGCTAAACTCGGAGTATAATACTCAAATCCCTGAGCTGACAGGTAAATGGGAGGAAAGATGATGCAAAGAGATAAAAGAATAGTAGAACATATTAAGAGAAAAAGCAAAAAAAGAAGTAAACGCAAAAAAAGAAAAAGAGATAAGAGGGTATATTGAAAAAAGATTTGCAATAGATATAACAGAGCCAAAAAAGATACTTAATAGTTTGTTAGAGAGACATCATAGTAAAATTATATTAGACAAAGTACTAACTAATAGTGAGAAAAAGTTCGAGAATAAAACTTTAATTACAGGAAGCGAGGAAGTTAAAGAAGAAGTTCTAAAGCATTTTCAGAAGCAATTCCGACAAAGAAACTATAAGTTCGAGAAAATCGATAATGAATGGAAAGAAATATATAAAGAGCAAAGACACATTAAAGAAGAATGGTACAAGGAAGTCTTAGTAGAAGTATCTGAAGAAGAGTGGAATGAAGTAACGAACTCTCTACAAAAAGATACGGCTCCAGGAATCTCAGGCATCGGTTACAAATTAATCAAAAACACAGGTGTAAAGTGCAAAAAGCATATGATAGACCTTGCAAACAGAGTTATCTTAGAAGGGGACTTTCCAAAAAAATAGAAGCTTGGTCAGATTTACTTAATCCCAAAGAGCACTAACTGGGAATTTAATTTGGCATCGACACGACCAATTATGCTCCTAGAAACACTCCGAAAGCTAGTAGTTCGAATTGTACAAAAAAGACTCTGTAAAGTATTAGTGCAGAAGAGTATACTCAAAGGTGCAAACTTTGCTGGGCTTCCAGAAGAAAGCACAATAGCACCAATACATATCTTGAATAACGTAATAGAAGACGCAATCCAAAAGAACAATGAATTATGGATAGCATTTCAAGATATGAGAAAAGCATTCGATTCAGTAAGCATGACTGCTTTAGAACTAGCTATGAAGAGGATAAGGTTTCCTGAAAAGCTTATCACATTTATTAAGCATCTGTATAAGGATCGTGAAATCAGAGTTATTACTGATAAAGGTCCAACAAGTTTCTTCACAGCAGGAGATGGTATTGATCAGGGAGAAGTCATCTCGCCTTTAATGTGGAGAATTTTCTATGACCCATTACTAGTTCGGATTCAACAAGCAAAGCTTGGATACCAAATGCAAATAGAATGGCCACTTGATATAAGCAGTAACATTATAAGAATCGAAAAAATTGAGGTTTCAGTATTAGCCTATGCAGATAATACTACCTGGATAGCAGCGTCTAAAGAGGCACTGCAGAGTATTATAAACATATCGAATAAGTTCTTTGAACTAAATGATATAGAAATTAATGGAACAAAGTCAGAATTAATAGCATGGAGACCAAATATGAGAACCAAAGCAAAAGAAGGCATATGGATAGGAACACCCCCAGAATATATTGAAACCAAAAAAGCAAATGAGAGTACAAGATTCTTGGGTGTTTGGATTAATCCTAAGAGCCAAGAAAAAGCAAGTATTAATCGATGCAAAAAAGTAGTAGGCAGTATGACAAGCTCACTAAGAATGAAAAAATTATCAGTTAGTCAGATAGTATATATAAACAATATGGTTCTGCTACCGAGGCTAGAATATATATTATCAAATGTAATAATTGATAAGAAAAAGTGCAATGCAATCCACCAACCATTCATAAGGTTATTAAAACAAAAAGCAGAACTACCAATGACATGCGCAAATGCAACTATTCTCCACAGAGAAATTTTTGGAGTTATGAGTTTGTGGCAAAAGCACTTAGAGCATCATATATCTGAACTATTCATACGTATAAACTCACATAGCTTGCTAGGTAATACAACTAACATGCGATTGAGGCAATTCCAACTAGACACAAACATAGCAGAGTGTATACTGACAGCGAAGAATAATAGTTAGAAAAGCGCAAATAGCAGAAACCTAAGTGCTAAAGTACTACAGCTGTCCAAAAAACTCGGGTTCACAATATCAGAAAACCTGAACACAGAAAGTTGGAACATTGTAGGATCACATGGAAAAAAGGATCTGCTTATTGAGAATATACTCTCAGAAATAAATAAGGAAAAGAGTATAAGCGAAGTGAGCAGACTAAATATCTGGCATGTGAATCAACTCCTTGACCCTCAGAAGGAACATATGATAACATGGCGACAGCTCAAAGTACTTAGAGGAAAAAGGCATGTGGGAAAGAAAGCAAAGTGGTTCTCACTACTAAAAAAAGAGATAATCGAAAATAGTTCTACGAGAAAAGTCAAAGAAAGGTTTAAAAGTGAAGAGCACTTCCAAATTGAACTAAAGAAACATAAAATATCACTAGATAAACGAAGAAAAGAGTGGATTTTCTTCCAAACAAAAGCAGAACAAGAATTCGAATTAGGTCGTATCACTAGAAAGAGCGGAAAAGTAGCAGAAGTAGAAGTTTGGGAGGAGAATAAAGAGAATGACGAGCAGCAAGAAGAAAAGTATACAGAAGAATACAGGCACGTAAAAAAAGAAAATAGCAAGAAACGGGTAGCACTAAAAGAGGTACAAGATATCTCAAATCTAATAAGGAAAAAAGAAAACAGGCCATATATACTAGCAAATAAAGAAGCACTAATTAGAGCAGAACAAAGAAAAAGAAGAGCAGCCAAAGATATAGAAGTAAATACACTCAAAGGGCACAAAAGAATATACGTAGATAATAGTTGGAGTATGAAGCTTATTGATCAAATAATTAAAGATGAGAGGGTACGAGCAAAAATAAAAGAAGGCCTCAAGATAAATATAAGTA